CACAGTGTATGTTTTCCTTTAAAAACTGAAGAAGTGGGAAGGAATCTTTTGGGCATGAATACTCTGTCTGAGGTAGTGTAGAGTAATTGTATAGCCAAGCATGAACCCAAGAATTAAGACAATTGCTTCTTCCAAGATCATGGGTTTTGCATCTTTATCTTGTCTTTTATCCTGTCTTTATCACTCTTCATTACTGCTTTTCCCAGAATGCAATGAAACAGGAATATTTTTGGGAAGTGGTAAACTGCTCCTCTGTAAACAAGGGCTACTCTCACGTCTAAGTTTTGAAAGGCCTCGGGTAGAGGAGCCCTACCACACTCTGAACTGTGACGTTTATGATTCAGGCAGCTATTTCTATTCACCGACAATGTATTTCCTTGTAGTATCATGAATAAAGAACATGCATCGTGGTTGGGTGGAAGTTAAGTTTTTTTTATTCCTTTTCTATTAAGAAAAGAAAAAATATCACCACCAACAAAAATCCTGCTTCTAGCACTGTACCTGATCAAAGTTTCAGATGTATGGTGGTGTGTTTGTGTGCTTTAGATCGTTTTCTCATTTCAATTAGATTTTGAAGTTCTAAAGTAAATAGTTCAGAAAACTGATCCAGGTGCAATCTATAGTGATGGCTCACCACAAAATGGTTTCCCATAACTTGAATCTATGTCATACTCTTGTGAGGGTTTCTATAATGTAATGGTTCTTCATGGACGGTGGTTGGACCTACACCACCTTCAAGATAGCTCTGTCATCAAAGATGCTTGCCTCTAAGTCAGACCACTCAAGTTTGATCCTTGGGACCCACATGGAGGAAGCAAAGTACAGACTTCCAAAGTTGTCCTCTGACTTCCAAACCCACACCTTGGCATGTTCCTCTCCCCACCCAACTGGCTAAATATATGCAATAAAATAATAAACATGGAAATAATTCTACAATATATCTCATACAATTAATCTGATTCAGCAAGATTATAACAGCATGATGGGGAATGAGCAGAAGCAGAAATTCAATGGTGGCTACAGTTATCATTTCTCTGGGATTATTAGGAATATTTTGCCACAGTTTCCATTTTTAGATTTCTTTAATAATTGTATAATCTTGAGGCATAGGAGCCATCTTGTTCAAAGGTATGTGTTATATAGTAATAAAATTTGAGTGAACTGTCAAGTATTAGAAAAATTGAAGTATTTTGCCCTTCTCTGCCAGTTCTCCTGTAGCAGAGATTCTTAAATCCTTTCAGCAATAAGGAAGCAGAAGTACTGGGGTTGAGCATGGAACTTTTTACTTCAGCAGTAATAAAACACACTTCATTAGACATTTTGTCAATAATGGAGAAGCATGAGCTCACTTGGGAGTGTGTGTGTGGGTGAGAGAGAGAGAGAGATTGGGAGGGAGGGAGAGAGGGAGGGAGGGAGAGAGAGAGAGAGAGAGAGAGAGAGAGAGAGAGAGAGAGAGAGAGAGAGAGAGAGAGAGAGAGAGAGAGAGAGAGAGAGAGAGAGAGTTTTCTGTCTTAGGCCTTGGAAGTTCAAATCTGGAGAAAGTTTGTGTTGTTTCACACTTCATCTTTATATAACTTAGTGGTTCTCAGTCTTCTTAATGCTGTGACCCTTTATTACAGTTCCTAATGTCGAGATAACCACCCAACAATAAAAGCATTTTTATTGCTATTCATAACTGTAATTTTGTTACTGTCATGTATCATCTGTGTTTCCCGATGGTCTTAGGTGATCTCTGTGAAAGGGTCATTCTATCCCCTGAAGAGTACCCAACCCACAGGTTGAGAACCCCTGCTATAGATGACTTGCAAGGAACTCATTAAATGTAACCACACCAGTTTGGAAAGTTTTGACAGCTTCTCTCACTCTGCTGCTAGGAATATTATGATTAGTAGCCCTTCAATACATTTTATTAGTGAGTATTAATTGTACAAAGTGAGGGGTTTTCTTATGACCTAAATATGCTACATTTGATCACATTTACCTCTTTATTACTCTTAGATCTCATCCTGTTTCACAGTTCATAGACCCCTTTGATTTTCATCCTCTCCCCATTCCCTAAATTCTAACTGTGGGAAAAAACACATGATAGGTGTCTTTGTGGGACTGGCTGAATTTCTTTAACTCAATCTCTCTTTGGATGTGGTATAGTTGGAGAAAGAACCAAGATTTTTTTGTGATACTATGCACCCAGTTGGCCAGCTCATTACTAACTTTGGATGCTAAAAACCAGACATTCCCTTAGAATGATGCTTTGTATGTGGTGTGAGAGTCTGGAGACTCAAAAAAGATCTAGCGAGTAAAGGCCCTTGATCTAGCCCTGTGGTATGTGTGGTAGCTAATTTGAGACATTCCTGATGATGCCATTTGTCAGTTCCTGGCCTCATGTGCTGAAATAAAGGCTATTTCCCTGCAGAGACTCAGTAGGGGCAGAGATGTTGTTTGCTAAACTCTTTCTTAAGGTCAGCAGCATTGACAGCCATGGGAAGCTGAGCTGCTTAGCTGAGGTTGATTCTGTGCTCCTGAACCTTCTGCAGAATAGCCGGTAGCTGCTTCAGATAGTTTAAATATTTCCTTTTCCTTGTCATCCCTTTTTTTCTTCTTCTCTGTTTATAAAACTACGTACCTTTTGGAGTTTCTCATCACTTGTGTATGACAGAGAAATCCCCCTAGAAATGTCAGTGTAAATACTGACTACATAGTTATCCAGATCTTGTGACTGTATGAAGAGTGAAGGGACAGGAATGGGATCAGTCTGCAAATGCATTAACAATGTCTTCTGTTACAGTGAATGCTAGCATTAGTCTTAACAGAGAACAGTGTTGCCGTCTTCTTTGTACAATTTGCTCTATGTAGAAGAAGCTGGTTGAGAGGTAGAGTAGGTGAAGAACTTGTAGAAAAGATAGAACAAGCCTGTCCACAGAAAGTATTTTGAAATTCTGTCTTCCAAAGTTATCAAATATACCTGGAAAGTTAGTAAATAAAATCCAACATGTGAGTGTGACCTAATATCATGTCCCCTGCGTCGGTTTTCATACTTTTAATGCTTTAATTGACCCTTCATGACTTACTCTCAATTATTTAAATGTGGTGGCTGAGCTCAGTCTTCTTACTCTTCACCCTAGGAATTACCCCTGAGAACCACACAGGTGAGGCCCAATAAATAAATTTTGAATGAATGCTTGCGATATTTTTCATATCTTCTCTATTCCTTCATATAATTATTAAGAGTATGTTTTATAAAAAATAAAAAGGCTGCTATGCAGTAGTGACACATGCCTTTAATCCTAGCACTCAGGAGGCAGAAGCAGGTGGATCTCTCTGAGCTCAAGGCCAGCCTGGTCTACATAGTGAGTTCAAACCAGAACAGTTAACTGTTATACAGAGAAATCCTTTCTTGAAAAAAACCTATAACTAACTAACTAACTAACTAACCAACCAACCAACCAAACAATCAACTAACTAAAAAGGCTGTAGCATACATCCTTGTAGGAAACAAAGAAATGCAGCACGGAAGAGACAGGTTGCCACTCTGGGACCAGCATCTACTTATGGAGAGTAGCAATATTCTCAGAGGTCGATGATTGCTATCAAAGGCAGACAATGTAGGTCAAATCTGAGATTCTCTGGAGGAAAGAAAGAGGAAGAGAAATTTTTATCCTCAACAGGTTCACAAATATCCCAATGTTGTTAGTACTTACTCTGAGAGACAGGTTCTATTTCTCCATGTTTCTAAGGAAATTTAAATATATGTAAATAGAAGACCCTGAGCACAGGACTTGTTAAAGGGGTGAACTTGGACCAGAATGAAGTTTCTTTTGCTTCTCTTCTTCCTTCTAACAAACTTGTAAATGTCTGAGGAAAGTAAAAACAAACAAACAAACGAAGGACAAATAACACAAAAGATATGAATTTAAGAAAAAGGATGTTTGTGACACACAAAGGGGGTATGTCTCCAGTCAATAAAGAGCTTTAACAAGCTGGACTATCCCTCAACTTTTCCAACTGCCAGGATTACTGGAACCAAGAGGGAAGAAAAGGCCTCGGAGTCAGAGGAATCAAGCTAGTAGCGATAGCCAAGGAAGGGATATTTCCTGCTTTCCAGAGTCCCCGTCCAGGCAGTTATGGATGGATTTGCATTTATGTTAGGAAATTCTTGGACTTGCCCATGATAGTCATGTCTGTTTCCCCCTGGGTGAGGCAGGCTGTCCTATAAAGAGAGTCTCAGTGCTTGGCTGCAGTATTGTCAGTACTCGAGCACTGGTGGTCTACTTCGGAGAACCTGGTGAGTCTGATTTCTTGAGTTCTTGAGAGGATCTGCCTTTGGGATATTCTCATGTGTGGAGTTTCACCTAAATACAGTAATCTTAGTATTTCCAAACTGATCTTGGGATAAATGTTACAATAGATGCAGCTTTAGGAAGGGAGGACATTCACATACTTTACTAGCTTGCTTTTGTATTTTTCTATACTGTAATTTGATACCTACATGGAAAAGCAAGACAATTGGGGAAGTTTTTATTTTAGATGAGAACAAAGAAAAATATGTAATTTTCTTTTATCCATATCTCGATGGAATCCCTTTCCAAGGGTTATGTCACAAGCAGTTCAGAGGGTCACCTATTCTTTCAACAGCTATCTGTTGTGTTGCTCAGTCATTCTACTTGAAATATACTAGCATTAGATGGGTACTGTTTATAAGAATGCTAGGGTTAGGAGGATATTCTAGTCATATAAATACTATTTCTCAGTGCTGGGGAACAGAAGTATATCCTTAGGAATAATGACATGGGATAAAAGAAAGGTTGGCTAAAGGTGTTGAAAATATGCTAAGTAGAAGAAACTCAGGACATCTTAAAATAAGAGTGGTAGATTTTCATCTTCAACAGATACACAGGAAGAGAGGAACGATTCTGCAGCCCCATAAGCCTAGTTTTATCCTCAGAGGTGATCTCTTGTGAGAACTGTCTTGTAATGCCTTTCAGATCCTGAGACTTGAGCACGATGTCTTACCAACAGCAGCAGTGCAAGCAGCCCTGCCAGCCTCCTCCTGTGTGCCCACCCCCAAAGTGCCCAGAGCCTTGTCCTCCTCCAAAGTGCCCTGAGCCTTGTCCTCCTTCACAGTGCCCTGAGCCTTGTCCTCCTCCAAAGTGCCCAGAGCCTTGTCCTCCTCCACAGTGCCCTGAGCCATGCCCCCCTCAGCCATGGCAGCCAAAGTGCCCTCCTGTGCAACCTTCTCCACCCTGCCAGTCGAAGTGCCCACCCAAGAGCAAGTGAGGGCTTCAGAAGTCACCAGAAACAGGGGAAATGAAGAAAATCCATTTCACCTACTTCCATACAAACATCCCCATCTTCTTTTCAAAGCCTGTCATGGATGCAGAAGAGTCTTCTCCACCCTGTCCCTCTATGTGCTTCTGATGACCCCTGATAGAGAAGGCATTTCTGTGAGGCTGTCTTCCTGCTGTTCCAAGGGGCCCTGAGAATGGTCCTTCCTCAGTGATTCAGTGTCCCAGATGTTGAGAGGAAGAGCAGCAGCTGTCTACTTATCCTGTGCCCTGGCCTTCCCAGTCTGCTGTCACCTGGGCAGTTGTCACTGCTGTTTCACTTCCTGAAGAAAGTACCTTTTTGGTGATGGTCTAATAAACACTTTTTCCTTGGAAAATGCTGTTTAAATATTGTCTTACTATTTTGGATTATTTCTAGCCTTTGGTAGAGGAATTTTAAAATTTAATTCTGTGTTTTCTGGATTTAGTCATATCAAAGATAAATTCAATATTATTTCAAATTTATGTTCTTGACCACTGATTGAATTGTTCTTAGGACAGCATTCATTAACTTCTTAAAAGTTGTCTTTTTCTTAGTACAAGGTAGGAAACTCTATCATCTATTGGTCATCTACTTATAATCTATTTAACTTTCATATATTATTAACTTGATTCTTTAGCAGAAAATAAAAGTTGTGTAGTCAGTGTCAGACATCAATTTGTGATGTGGTGCTCAGTGCTTGTTTGTGTACTAGCAGAAACAGGTCAACATAATTGTCGACACTGTCACTGTGTGGCTTTCTGACAACTGCTCTTTAAATGTTATTTAAAAACGAAGTTATCCTTTTCCCCCTGTGTCCCTGTAATTGCTAATTCACCCCATTTCCTATGTAATCCTGAGAAAAGGGGATTTGAGGAATGTATGATGTCTCCTGAATAAAATGACAGCAACCTTTAAGGCTGGATATAAAAGAACAGGAGAGAAAAGAATGTTTAGGAGTCAAATGGCCCCCTCCCTAGTTATTCTTCCTAGTTGAGATCTCACAAAGTCCTGTATGTCAGCACTCCTCTCATTCTTCCCTTCTGGAAGTCAGGCTTCACAGAGTAGAATGTTTAAAGGCAGCTGAATCCATGAGGGGACAAGGAAGCTCTTCAAGGAAACCCCGTTGATCAAGGTCCTAAAGTCAATAACGACTGATGTTTCTTTCATCACAGTGGAACCTCAATTTGAGCTTCTGGCACTGACATGAACCTGGCAGAGCCATCAGCAACAACTTATTTTTATAAAGACTTGAAGTTAAACAATTACACATATGGGTACATGGATAAAGGAAGGTCATTTATCAGTACTAATGTCCCCAATATAAGTATAGGTAACATAAGGTGTGTTTCAATTCACATATCTCTTGTAGTTTTCAACCACTGAGGTAAGCAGAGAACAGCTTGGCACAGCATGGGACATAGCTCCATTTTGCAAAAGTGTCATCAATTCATGGCCTTCAGATATTCTATAGTTTTTGTTGGAAATTGGACCTGAAATGAGGGACATTTCTTGTGGGATGACATGTGTGCATCAGATACTTATGTGTTGAGTTTCTATCACCCAGAACTGTAGAAAGCAGCTGTATGTAGAGATGTGGTCTTTGAGGTTATATGGGTACGCTCTTGTTATGCTGGACTGGTGTGCTCTTGGGAAAGGTGAGGCACAAAAAGACATGGAACACTCAAGAGACAGATACAGGGAAGATGACCATCTCTGGGCCACACTGCAGAAGAGAGCATCTAAAGAATGCTCTCACATATGCATTCTTCAGAGCTATGAGAAATAAACCCTGGCTCTTTGAGCTTCTCAGTCTGCAGAGCGTCTTACTGGAGCTCACGCCAGGGAATCCAGCAGAGCTATGGCAGCAGCGTGTTCTGAAAAGAGAACTGAAATGCTCACACCCAAGTCCTCAACTCTAATCTGTCCCACCGTGCAAAGTCTGAATGGATTCTTTCCATTGTTGCTTCAGATGGACAGGGATGAGCAAGGGGCTCAAGCAAAGCAGCACCAGGCTCCCTGGAGGCTCTGTGTCCTGCACTGGCACAAGGCTTTCCTTTCTGGGAGTTAGTGTGCAGACCTCTCTCTGTGCAGGCCACAGAACACAGATATCTTTGTGGTCAGTTATAAAGTTCTTTGGGAGAGCTTGGGAAATACTATGAAAGACATAGAGGTAGGATTGTAGGATCCAAAGTCAAAGATACCAGTAGACCAAGGCCCATAGAATCAACTAAGCTGTGTTTATAGGGACTAACAGAGACTGAAGTGACAATCACAGAATATGCATGGGTCTGTGCTTGGTTCTCTATATATGTGTTATGGTCATGTAGCTTAGTGTTTTTGTGGAACTCCTAACAGTGGGAATGGGGACTGTCTCTGTCTCTTTGTCTGCTCATGGGACTCTTTTCCTCCTATTGGGTTTACTAGTCCAGGATTGATATGATGATTTGTGCCTAATTTTATGGTATATTGTTATGCCATTTTTGGCTGAAATCCCTGGGGGTTGCCTATTCTTTTCTGAAGGGAAACAGAGGAGAAGTGGAGCTGGGGAGAGGGCAGCTTAGTGAGGGTGCTCAGAGGGGTGGAGGCACGGGCAACTACAGCAATGCATGTATGATGTAAGGGAAAAAACTCTGGGTGTATGTACAGGAGTGTCAAACCTGAGTCATGTGTTACTTCTAATTTCTACCTTTTGAAGTCTTTGGCAATGATTTTCAAAGTGATTTTACCTGTTTGCTTACCACCAACAGCAAATAATGGTACTTTTATTCCTGTACACACTAGAATTTTTTGCCATTGATATTTTGATAGTCATTTTGACATGAATCTCAAAGTAATTTAAATTGCTGAACCCTTACTAAAATGTTTGTCAAGCAGGGCAGTGGTAGTGCATGCCTTTAATCCCAGCACTCAGGATACAGAGGATGGAAGATCTCTGTGAGTTTGATATCAGCCTGGTCTACAAGAGCAAGTTCCATGACAGGCTCCAAAGCTACACAGGGAAACCCTGTCTCGAAAACCCAAAAAGAAATAAAAAATATTTGCCAGACATTAATGTTTCTTTCTTTGAAAATTTTAGTCTTTAGCTTGTTTATTGATTAACAATATTTAATTTTTTATTTCCTTTTAAATTATGTTTTTAATTGTCATTGAATTACAGCACTTTACATATCCTATAATTCTCTCCTGACATCCCCAGTGGCAATCCCTAGAATACCTCCCATGTCTGATCATCAGATTTCAGCATGATGTCTTACCAACAGCAGCAGTGCAAGCTGTCCTGCCAGCCTCCTCTTGTGTGTTCACCTCGAAAGTGACCAGAGAATTGTTCACCCTGAATGTGTTCTGAGACTTGTCATTCTCTGAAGTGTCCAGATCCCTGGATTGCCTCAAAATATTCTTGAGTCATTCAAGAATTGAAATACAACCATTTTTAATTCATTCAGTCAGTTTTCATGCTTCAAAGAACCATTAACAGATATTAGATAGAAGTGGAAGATTGATGCTGTGTATGTGTGTGTGTGTATGTGTGTGTGTGTGTGCAAGAATAGTATTATGTAGTATATATTAAGTATTCATTATAGTATGTGTTTTGGTAGTTCTCATAGTTTGGGTACATCCCAAACTCCAGTTGGGATGTACCACAGTCACAGATGGTCTCAACAGCCCTTAACACAAGACAAGTGTGGGATATTGTGAGTTCATGCTGGTCACCTAAGCATGAACATGCTTAGGGCAGGTGTGATTTTAGTTCCTCTTCCACCATAATAAGCAGACTTATGGTCATCATTAGTGGGGGGTCTAAATATATAACTAAATATATTGTTTGAGATGGCAGTCCTGAAGATGGTCAGGATAAGGCCAAAGCCCATCACCCTCCCCTATGAGCAGCATATTCAGTTTTCTATCGTCACAGAAAAGAAACCTATGCAGGCAACTTGACCTATCTCGAGGCCCAGGGTTGTCAAAGAGGAAGTTGAAATCACATCTAACATCCTTTGTAATACTTTCCTTCTTTCAGTATACAGGCAAATTTCACCTAGAAGCTAGGAATATAAATGTGCCATTGCACCAAAGAATAGCAATGAGTTGAAGCAGAACAAAGAATACAAGAGAGCTGTAATAGAGAAAAGAAATATTCTCTTCAGTGAAGAAAGAGAACTTAGATAACGAGGCAGGTCTTACTGAAACTTACAGGAGGGCCCGCTGAGTCACAACGCTCTATAGTGATGATGTCCAGGAAGAGGATATTTCCTATTTTGTAGAGTCCCAGTCAAGGCAGTCATGCATGGATTTGGTTGGGAAATTCTCAGACCTGCCCACTGACAGTCAGCTTTGCTTCCACTGGGCTGGGCAGCCAGTCCTATAAAGAGGTCCTTGGCTGCATGACTGCAGACTCCTGGTACTCAAGTCCTGGACTACTTTGCAGAACCTGGTGAGTGTCATTTCTTGAGTTGGTCTGTCTGTCTTCACGGTCTTCTATGTGCTGCAGTCAGTTTTGAGGGAGTAAGTCCAGTTGTGATCATGTGATGAACAGCATTAACTTAGCAGTCAGAAATTTAGCAATGGAAGCAATGGTTTACTGTGATAGGTAATTATCCTTTTTATCAGGTATGCAGTTTAACGCAGTATATTTCTCCTTCACATGCATCTTTTGTTATCCTTTCCATAGCCCTATACCTTGGCAGGTTTCAGAACCTGGGATGTTCCTGAGCTGTCCTTGACTCTAAATCCCAGACATCCTACTGGAATGTCACAAGTGACAGGTGTGATATGGATGGCTTGTCTGATTGCTCTCGGCACCAGGACTTGACATGGCCTGTCTCAAAGATGTTTCATTGAAACAAAATATTTTCTCCCAAAAATACATGAAACAGGGGATTTCTCAAGGCTAGTGACACAGATTGCTGAGAGGAAGGTTGAAAGCCATGCTGCCCTAAAACAGGAGTTGGGGGTTATGTGCATGCCTAGAGAGAGAAATGGATGTGATGTTCCATGACTCCATCAGTCTTCTATATGTGGATCACCCCTGAAAACTCTCTTGTAATGTCTTTCAGATCCTGAGACTTCAGCACCATGTCTTACCAACAGCAGCAGTGCAAGCAGCCCTGCCAGCCTCCTCCTGTGTGCCCACCCCCAAAGTGCCCTGAGCCTTGTCCTCCTCCACAGTGCACAGAGCCTTGTCCTCCTCCAAAGTGTCCAGAGCCTTGTCCTCCTCCAAAGTGCCCTGAACCATGCCCCCCTGAGCCATGCCAGCAGAAATGCCCTCCTGTACAACCTCCTCCCTGCCAGCAGAAGTGTCCACCCAAGAGCAAGTGAGTGCTTCAACAGTCATGAGGACCAAGAGAAGAGAAGGAAATCTACTTCCTACACTTCCATAGAAACACTTCCATCTTCCCTTCAAAGCCTGTCATGGATGCAGAAGAATCTTCTCCAACCTTCACCTCCATGTATCTTTGGTCACCCTGATAGGGAAGGCATTCCCCTGAGCTTGTGCTGCTTCTGCTGTGAAGGGGCTGCTGAGAATGATCCTTCCTCACTGCTTCAGTGTCCGGATGTTCAGAGTGAAGAGCAGCAGCTTTCCACCCTGTGCACTCAGAGGATGTGTCCATAACTGTCAATCACCTTGGCTGATTTGTTTCCACTGTGGTTTCATTTCTTGAATAAAGTACAATCTGATTGATAGCATTCATGTCTTCTTTTTTCCCCTAAAATTCACTCTATTACCTTTCTTATATGCTCTTTCCCCTTTATTTTTATTCTCTGAACCCAGGTCATTCTGCTGTAATCAGGTTTTAACAAAGATTACTCAGTGTTTGTTTGCTTGAAGGACACATTTTTGTTCTGAATGCCTACAACCTCTCCTTTAGCAGATGCTGTGATATCTAGATATACATGTGCCATTTATTACATATTGTCTCCCTTAACATCCATGTATTTTGCTCTTACTTGTTCCCTTCTTACACAGTAAGTACATCTGCATCAACCTATCCTTGATATGTTTTTCTCTTTCAATATTTGGAACAGCAATATCAGCCTTATATTTAATAGGGTATTTTCCCTAACATGATAATACACAGTTCAAGGAATTTGTGTGAAATGTACATGATATCCTTGTTCTTTTTTTTCTCAATATATGTTTGTATTTAATTTAGAAACATGCATGCTTCACATGTCAATCCCAGCTCCCTCTCCTACCCCTCCTCCCTTGTACCTCCACCAGCCCGCCCCCCAATTATCCCACCTAATCCCCACACCATTCTCCATGGGGGGATCTCCGGAGTCTGTCATTTAATTCAGGTCTGGACCTAGGCCCTTCCCCATGTGTCCAGGCTGAGAGAACATCCCTCCATGTGGAGTGGACTCCCAAAGTTCATTTGTATGCCATGGTAAACACTGACCTACTACCCAAGGCCCCAGAGATTTCTGAGGCCTCTTCACTGACACTACATCCAGGGGGTCTGGATCAGTCTCCTGCTGGTCTCTCAGCCATCAGTCTGGGGTTCAAGAGCTCCTGACTGGACAAGGGGGATATCCTTGTTCTGTATGACACATTATTGCTTCAGTACACAAGTGCCACATTTTAAGTTGTTAGCAGATTCTTCTTTTTTCTTCTTTTCTCTTAAATTTTCTATTCATATTATGTATCAACTACAGATCCCAGTCTCTTACCACCTCCCTCTCCTCCACATCTCCCTCCAACCCCACCCCTGTCCACTGTTTACAATGTGCAGGGCAGCTTGGGGAGTCCACAAAACATAGCACATCAAGTTGAGGTCAGACCAAGCACTTCCCTACTGCATCAAGCTTGAGCAAGGCATCCCACCACAGGGAATGGGTTCCAAAAAGCCAGATCATGCAGCAGGTATAGACCCTGGTGCCACATCCAGGAGCCATAAAACTGTCACCCACATGCAGAGGGACTAGCTCAATCCCATGCACACTCCCCATATGTTGTTCCAGAGTCCATGAGCTCCCAGGATCTTGGGTGAGTTGTGTCTTTGGTTTTTCCCATCATGATCCTGACCTCCCTATCTCATACAATCTCTCCTCCCTCTCTTTGACTGGCCTCCCTGAGCTCAGCCGTGTGCTTATACTTGGATTTCTACATCTGCTTTTCTCAATCACTTGATGAAAGTTCTATTATGATAATTAGGGTAATCACCAATCAGATTATAGGAGAAAGACAGTTAAGGCATCATGTCTACTGTTGCTAGGAGTTTTAGCTGGGCTCATCCTTGTGAGTTCCTGGAAATTTTAGTCGCACTAGGTTTCTCCCCAACCTCAATCCCACAGTAGCTCCCTCCATCAAGACATCACTTTATTTCATTGGTTAGTAGCTAGACTAGTTATTTAAGTTGTATTAAAGAGTAGTTCTGAAATATAGATGCATGTGCGGGCATCTCTATTGTATGCTCTGTGTGACTTCTTACATGAACCCAAGTGATGCTGCTGAATCACATGATAGTTCTGCATTAGGGTTGTTTCTTTTAAGGAAACCCCACACTTATATCCATATTTGATGGGTTATTCTGCTGTCTCACAGTCTGAGAGTTTCTGCTCCTTCCTTCTATTCCCCTGCCAGAACTTGTTGCTATTATTTGAGGGTACTTATCCTTACATGAGTAGAATGGTCTTCTGGTGTAGTTTGTTTTTCAGTTCTCTAATGGCTAAAGATGTTGAACATTTTCTTGTTACTGTCACTTGTGGAAACTTCTAAGTATGGCAAAGTCTTTGGTCATATTTGAAATAATGCATGCAGTTTGATTGGCACAAAATGAATCACCTCATTACTACTAAGTCAGTGATAGACTTAAAAGTTGATGATCTGTATCAGTTCCACTATCCTCACTACCATTCCCTTTTCATCAGCAACATCTCCATCATCATCACCAATACCACCCTCAGTCTCACATTCAGGACAAGCTATCACACCAGCTAGCACTGCCTACGTTCAGTATCATTGATAACCTTGCCTTTCCTTCTCTTCCTACCCAGCCTTCATTAATTTTCTATTTGCTTCTCCTTATCTTCATTTCCATTTCATGCAGTCCACCTACTCTAGACAATAGGGCCTTCCCTGTGTTTTGTTCAATATAACAAAGTTCACATCTTATAACAACCCCTTCCTTCAGAAGCTATCAACTGCCCATAGTTCCTCAGCTCGTGGTGTGATTTCATATTTCCCTTTCCTTGTATGATTAGTTTTGGTTTGGCTTAGGCTTTGACATGACTCGTGAATGCTGTGACAATAGTTACTAGTTCAATTGTTTAGTGTCCTGGTATTGTGAATAGACATTTTCTACCTCTTCTGTGAAGTAATGCTAAGCACACGAGTCTATTATTCTTTGTAACACTTAAAACGTTGTGAGTTCTATCTTAAATATCAACTGCATTGAGAAGCTTCTCAAATGAGGAATGAGAAATATTTTGATATGAGTTTAGCAATGTCACTAGGAATTGCTGGGTTGATTTGTCCATTTAGCAGAATAATACTATTGACTGGATTATCTGCCAGGGCCTATATCCTATCTAGCTACAGATTCTCTCCCTTTTACTAGGGATAGGTATTTACTTTGGCTCATGGAGAAGGACCTAAATCAAATCAGAAGGATAGGTTGGTGCCATCCATTTGTGTCACTGTCATACCACTGGGCATATTTTGTCAAGCCAGTTATGTTTGTAGATTGCTGTGTTCAGAGCTTTTTGAGCCTGGTAAATTCTTTTCTCCTTCAGCAGTGTACATAGAACATTCCCATATCATGAGGACTGACCATTAGTGAGGAAGCATCTGGTTTGTACCTCCTAGATTTCTCTATGTTCTCTGAATTAAGCATTGATGTCTAAAGAAATTGGGTTTTAGCATGAAGTTCTGGAGGGTAGACAACTTACATGAAATAGTCTGGAAGGTAGTGAAATTATTGGATGGGACTACACTAGCTATCAACTAAATAGAGATGAGGCATTACTACTACTGAAGATTGCATTTGTTAAGATGAGTTACCTAATTGAGGTATTGCTCCCCCATACAATTTTAAGGTTACTCTATTAAAACATTTTGTATTTGTATATATTTTAGTAATCATTTAGAGTAGTAGATTTCCAAATGACTTTTTCAAAAGGTTTTAAATGTTCATCATCTCTGTCTGTGTGCCCTGATCTATCCTTTCTTCCCATGTCTCACCACAATGAAAGTTGTCCCTTTGCATTATTTCCTTCAATCCTTTGTAACCTTCTGTGTACGCATCATTCAGAAGAAGAACCTCAGGTTAAACTGACTTTGTGTTAATTTGGCATCTCATGTCAGTAGGCAATTTTGTAATTTTGCACAGCAGAAGCAAGCACATTGCCTAAGACAATTCTTTGTGTTGATATGCAAATGTGGAGAGTAATGAGTCTCTTACTGGCTTACTACTGTATGTGTAGCAACCTTTATGAGTCATTCACTAGTGGTGTGTTTCTTGTTACTTGGTCCTAGGTATAGAACTTATGATTCTTTCCCTTCAGTGAGATGGACAATGGAATTCTCAGCTAAATCATTCCTCATTTCAAAGACATTTCCAGTCACATAAAGTTGACATGCTACAGTAAGATTCAGTACCCAAGTGCTTCTCAGAGCAGAGAGTCTGCATAATGTCTTTTTATATCTTTCTTATTTTATTCTTTCTCCTTCAATTATAAAGCAACTTTTTAGGATCAAAGAGAGCATTCTTTTTAATTAAGGTACTCTTCCATTCTCCCCACCCCCTAGGAGGTTCTAGATTCTTGAATCTAGCCTAGTCAAGTTCCTGGAACATCACGTATAATAACAATTGCAGTAGTTTTCATCACCACTGAGAGAGCTCAGTATTTTAGATCTTAAACTTCAGACTGCCTGTATTGAAGATGCTCATCACTCCTCCCTCTCTGCAACTGGATTCCAGAGTTCAGCTCAATGTTTAGCTGTGGGTGTCTGCTTCTGCTTCCATCAGCTACTAGATTAAGGCTCTAGGATGGCATATAATGGCTCCCTCTATTATGGTATCTCTTTTCTTGCTCTTCTCTATTCTTCCCCTGACTCCATCTTCCTGCTCTCTCTTGTCCTCTCTCCTCTTCTCCCTTCTCTTTCTTCTAGCCCCCTCTCAACTCCCCCATGCTCCCAGTTAGCTCAGGTTGGAGAAACCCACAGAAACAGCTGAACTGGTCAAAGGGTTGCTCATGGACCCCAGACTGATAGCTGGGAAAACCAGAATAGGACTGTTCCAGACTCCTTGAACTAGGATGTCAGTTTGGAGGTCTGGTTAATCTATGGGGTCTCTGATAGTGGATCAGTATTTATACCTAGTATACGAATGGACTTTGGGGGCCCACTCCACATAGAAGGACATTCTCTCAGCCTAGACACACGGGGGAGGATCTAGGCACTGCTCAATAGGGTATGACAAACTTTAACTATCCCCCATGGAAGGCCTCACCCTCCCTGGGGAGCAGAAAGGGGATGGGATAGAGGGCCGGTAGTGGGCAGGGGAGGAGAGGAGAGGGAACTGGGATTGACATGTGAAAGAAACTTGTTTCTAATTTAAATAGAAAAAGGAAAAAAGAATATGTGCTGTATATTAAGTATTCAGTGTGCTATGTGTTTTGGAATTTCTCATAGGAAACTTCAGTTGCCATGTACCACAGTCACAGATAGTCTTGACAGCCCTTCACACAAGAGAAGTGTGAGATATTGTGAATATTCATGCTATTCACCTAAGCAAGATCATGCTTAGGACATGTATGATTTTAGTTCCTTTTCCCCCAAGATTAGAAGCATGCTGGTCATCATTACAGGGGATTCTAAATATATACACAAATATGTTGTTTGAGATGTCAGTCCTGAAGACAGTCAGGATAAGGTCCAAGCCCATTAACCTTTCCTATGAGTAGTATATTAGGCTTTTTTTTCATTACAGAAAAGAAAACTATACAGAGAATATGACCTGTCTCCAGGCCAGGATTGTCAAAGATGAAGATGAAATCACAGATAACATCCCCTGTAATACTTTCCTTCTTTCAGCACACAGGCAAATCCTACCTAGAAACCAGGAATATAAATGTGACAATGCACATTCAATGAGCTGAAGCAGAACAAACAGGACACAAGAGAGTTGTAATAGAGAAAAAATATTGTCTTCAATGAAAAAGTCAAATTAGACAACCAGGGAGGTTTTACTGAAACTGAAAGACAGAAGAGTCCATTGAGTCATAGCATTCTACAATGATGATGTCCAGGAAGAGGATATTTCCTATTTTGTAGAGTCTCAGACAAGCCAGTCATACATGGATTTGCATTTTGGTTGGGAAATTCTCAGACCTGCCCATTGACAGGCAGCTTTGCTTCCACTGGGATGGACAGCCAGTCCTATAAAGAGGTCCTTGGCTGCCTGACTGCAGACTCCTGGTACTCAAGTGCTGGACTACTTTGGAGAACCTGGTGAGTGTCATTTCTTGAGTTGGTTTGTCTTCATGATATATTTGTTGCAGTAAATTTAGAGGGAGTAACTCTGAGGAGTCTAGTTGTGCTCATGTGATGAACAGTATCAACTTAGCAGTCAGAAATAGAAATGTAGCAGTAGAAACAATGGTTACTGTGACAAGTAGTTTTATTTGGTATGCAGTTGAACACAGTTTAATTCTCCTTCATATGTATCTTGTTGTTCTTTAAGACCATATACCTTAGCAGGTTTCAGAACCTGGGATATTCCTGAGCTGTCCTTTAAACCACAGACAACCTACTGGGATTGTCACAAGTGATAGTTGTGACAGTGATGGGGTCTCAGATATTTCAGGGCACCAGCACTAGAGATGGCCTGTATCAAAGATATTTCTCTCTGAAAACAGTCTTATTTGTTTCCTTTGAACAAAATATTTTCTCCCGAAAAAGGCAAGAAACAAAGGGTATTTCCCCAAGTACAATCACACAGATTGCTGATAGGAAAGGGAAAAGCCAGGCTGCCCTAAAACAGGAGTTGGGGTTTATGTTCATGCCTGGCGTGAGAAATAGATCTGATGTTCCATGTGTCCATCAGTCTTCTCTGTGTGGATCACTCCTGAACACTCTCTTGTAATGTCTTTCAGATCCTGAGACTTTAGCACGATGTCTTACCAACAGCAGCAGTGCAAGCAGCCTTGCCAGCCTCCTCCTGTGTGCCCACCCCCAAAGTGCCCAGAGCCTTGTCCTCCTCCACAGTGCACAGAGCCTTGTCCTCCTCCAAAGTGCCCAGAGCCTTGTCCTCCTCCACAGTGCCCAGAGCCTAGTCCTTCCCCAAAGTTCCCAGAGCCTTGTCCTCCTCAGTCATGCCAGCAGAAATGCCCTCCTGTGCAACCTCCTCCACCCTGCCAGCAGAAGTGACTAACCAAAAGCAAGTGAGTGCTTCTACAGTCATGAGGACCAAGAAAAGATATGGAAATCTACCTCTTATATTTCCATAGAAACATTAGCTTCTTCCCTTCAAAACCTGTCGTGGATGCAGAAGAATCTTCTCCACCCTTCACCTCCATGTTTCTGTGGTCACTTGATGGGGAAGGCATTCCCCTGAGCTTGTGCTGCTTCTGCTGATTGGGGCTGCTGAGAATGATCCTTCCTCTCTGCTTCAGAGTCCCAGATGCTCAAAGTGAAGAGCAGCAGCTTTCCACCCTGTGCACTCAGAGAATGTGTCCATAGCTGTCAATCACCTTGGGCTGGGTGGTTTTCACTGTGATATCATTTCCTGAATAAAGAGCAATCTGGTTGATAGTATTCATGACTTTTTTATACTTAAATTCACTCTTACTTTTCTGATATACACATTTTTCTTTATTTTTATTCTTTGAGCCCAGGTCATTGTGCTGTAATCAGGGTTCCACTGAATTTTGGGTTATAACAAAGATTATTTAGTGTTTGCTTGCTTGAGAGACATGTTATTTAATTCTGTGTGACTACAACTTCTCCTTTAGCACATGCTCACTTAAAATTTTATCACATATGCATGTACCACATATAGCATATATTCTCAGTTGACATTCTTGTATTTTGCTCTTACTCATCCTATTCATCTGACATAATAGTTATACATCTATATCAACATATTCTTGTCATTTTTATCGTTCAATATTTGAAACATCCATTCCAACCTTGTATTTACTACATTATTTATTTTTCTTAACATGATGATATGCAGTTTTAGTCAGTAACGTGTAATGGACATGAAATCATTGTTCCTTATGACTAATTATAACTATAGTATTACAAGTGTCATATTTGTTAACCCATTAGTTCACTAGTGATCTAGACTGACTATAAACTATTTAAAATTCTTTAATATTAGGAGTAGCTCTGAAATGTAGATGATAATGCACTTCTTTTTATTAGTATCCATGTGATGCTGGTGACTTATATGATAGTTCTCTTATAGTGTTTAGTCTTAGGAGGAAACCCCACACTGATTTGCATTTTTGATGGGTTATTCTACTGTCTCACAGTCTGTTTTGTCCTCCACTCCTCTGCCACAACTTGCTGCTACTATTTTGATGGTAATCATTCTTACATGGGTGTAATGGCATAGGTTTGGTTTTCAGTTTTCGAGTAGCTAAAGATATTGAACATTTTCTTGTTACCATTACTTGTAGAAAGTCCTAAGTTTGCCAAACTCTTGTCTTTGGTCACATTGAACTAACGAATGCCTAATCATTTGAACTAAAATAGTGAACTAAACATTTGATTGGTACAATCTGAGGCACCTAATTACTGCTAGGTAAATGATAGTTGAGAAGTTATTGATATCACATAGTTTCCACTATCTTCACTACCAGCCCCATTGCCACCTGCAATGCAATATCCCATCATCATCACCAATACCAATGTCATTATCACAAGCACTACAAGCTATAACACCAGCTAACATGCCTTCCTAAATTATTGCCGCCCTACGTTCTCACTTAAGAGTATCGTATCCATGTCCATCACCATTTCCACGACCATCATCTCCAGCATGTCAACATAATCATGAAAAAAAAACAAACAAACAAGTAAATAATTGTTAAATGTATTGAAAAGGGATTCCAGCCAAGGAATGTGAGGCCCACATGGATCCTACTATTGCTTGTTATTTTTTGTATCATTTGTTAATGTAGAATCTTGCTTTTATCAAGACTCTTTCATTGATGGCAAAGGTTATATCATAATAAAATTTTGAATTAAATGAAGAACTAGAAAAATATTATAACTTCATATTCAGTCGTGTCATTTGGCTCACAGAAAGTCCTTAGACGATCAGGAATAAAATGTGCAGGTTTAACTCAGGGTCAAATGATCTTAAAAGATCATAAAACTAAGAGAATCGAATGTTTAATTCATTCTGTCAGCTTTCTTGCAACAAGGACACATAAATGTGCGTTAGCTCAAAAGGTCCATTGTGTGAGTATTCATGTGTGTGCACACATGTATTCCCTGTCTCTGGTCGTGCAGGTTCAGACCTGGAGAAATTGTGCTCACTGTGGGTTCTTTTCATCTGTGGCTGCTGCTCATGTAGCTTCTGTGGAAGGAACTCATCTTGAGTGAATCAGCCTGGAAAGAGATTCAGCTGCTTTGACTCTGGTGCCAGTGTTGACAGAATTAGTAGCCTCTATTTTGAAAATAATGAAATTATCATATATCATTGTAAAAATTGAAGTGTTTCATCATGATATTTAAAGATAGGTAGATAAGGTGTAGTTAGTGTCATCTGCTGTAGTCAACATAGGAGAGAAAACACGTGATTCTTGTCTTTAGTGACTTACTTGTGTCCTTTAATATGATGCCTTCTTTAAAAATATTATCATCTTTATTAATTCTTTGAAAATTTCAATGATGTTTTTCAGTGATATTCACCCAGTGGCTTACTGACAACTGTCATCCAACTGCTGTGTCTCTCCTCTTCCCACTCAATTTTGAGTTCTTTTCCATTTGCTTCTCCTTGTCCCCATCATGTTCAGTTTGAACAGAGAGAAACATGGCTTCTTGGTAGCAGCATTTTCTCAGATGGGCTCTGCTTTGCCCAACATCTTGGAAAGAGCAATTTAAACAGCTGCGGTTGTTAGCAGATAAGACATATGACCCAGGGGCGGTAGAGATGGCTCAGAGGTTAGGAGCACTCGCTGCTCTTCCAGAGGTTCTGAGTTCAATTCCCAGCAACCACATGATGGCTCACAATCATTCGTAATGAGATCTGGTGCCCCTTCTGGCCTGCAGGGTTACATGCAGGCAGAATACTGTATACATAATAAATAAAATAAATCTTAAAAAAAGACCAGAAAAACATAAAGATTTACAGTATAGTCTGATTCAGATGAAGAAAAACTTCTAAAGGTTTACAGTGTGTTTAAAAATATACATAAGCTTGAAGAGAAGTCGGTTGTGGTGGCACACGCTGGTAGGATTTGCTCCAGAGGCAGACAGATTTCCAGAGAAACCCTGTCTCAGAGAAAAAAATAAAAGTAAAAGAAGTAGAGTAATAAAAAAGCCACACAAAGATGGAAAATACACAGAGTCTGGATACTGTATGCTATTGTGTTTTTCAGTTGTTCAATTGCTATGAAGGAACAATTGCTGAAATATACTTGATTATACATGCTGCTAAATTAATCCAACTTATATATTTTAAATGTTTTGACTTCTAAATTTAAATATAAGGACAGGTTACTTGGAAAAAAGTTTTTGTTTCTGTTTCCTCAGAAAATGGAAAGTTGTGGATTCCTTCCAGGCTTCTGTGGTTTGATAAAGTAAGACATCATGAAATAGTGTCCTGAACCATCCAGCATCTGAAACAGCTGAGATGATGCAGCCTTATGAACTATAAAACCAAGGACTTGGATGGACAGCGCCCCCAACCAGAAGGAAGCAGTTTGGAATGAACAATGTCCAAATTCCCAAATATCGTTTATAAATATTTGTTTTCATTTAAATGGGGTTGCTTATAATTGGTTAATGATCACAACCAATCTCTTTTTAAAGGTAAAAAAAGATTATGGTATGGAAATAAATACTTTCTATTGCTATGGTTTTTCATTTATTGATGCAAATTTAAGGTCAATTTTGTGATGTGTGAAGAAAACATTATCTACCCCTAGTCCTTATAATCATTTTGCCAACTCTTCTGTGAGAATAATGCTGAGCTCACACAAGTCTGTCATTCTACGTATTACATGTCAGGTGATAGTCTTTGTGTAAATAATCCACTGTAAGGGGAAGCTTCTCAGTGTTTGTTAGCTTGCAGAGTTAAGAACTGGGAGATGCTGGTGAGTACTTTTCTCCTTCAGCAGTGCACATAACACATTTTGATATCATGAGGGCTGGCCGGTAGGGATGTAGCATCCAGGTGAGTACCTCCTACATTTCTCCATGCTCTTTCTTCATGTCTTACCATAAAGTTCCCCAGGGTGGATAGGTTACAGGCAAAAATATGGAAGGTAGTGCAATATTTTATGGGACTCTACTGGCTAACAAATAAAAAGAGCTAAGCTATTCCTGCTACTGAGCTTTGCACTCATTAATATAAGTTATCTACTTATATTGCACCCCTCCATAGTAAGGTGACTCAATTAAAAACACTTTGTGTATGTATAGGTTTTAATAAGCTTTAGAGTAGATTTAGATTTCCATATGACTTTTGAAAAAGATTTTTTTAACGTTCAGGCCTTACATTTGACTGTTTAAAATCATTCTCTACATGCCCTGATTTACCATGTCCTCTCATATGCCATTACAACGTCTATCTTCACTCTGCATTGTGTCCCTTTAATTTTTTACACCCTTTGGAATCGGCTATATTCAGAAGAAGAACCTCAGATGTAACTGACACTGTTATGTTAACATCCCAGCTCAGTATCCAGTTTTGTACTAGGACATGGAAGAACTCAGACATTGCCTAATATGATTTTAGGTGTGATTTGCAAATGTGTAGACTGGTAAGAGTCCTAGTGATCTAGCACTGTGGATCATGAGCTAAATTTAGTGAGCCATCCACTGCTGTACATTTCTTGACATATGACCTCAGGGGTATGATGATGATTTCCCTTAGGGGACCTGGACAATGGCATTCTCAGCTAAACCATTCCTTACTGTCGAAGGCATTGAGAGTTACAGGAAGCTGGCATGCTTCACTGAGGTTGATTCAGTGTCTGTGTGCTTCTCAGACCAGAGCTAGTACTAGTTAATGGCTTTGTTTCATCTTCCTCGTTCTATTCTTTCTCCTTCAAACATAAAGCAAATTTCCAGGATCAAAGAGAGTAGTTTTTCTATGTTTTCTCTCTTATGAGGTTCTAGATTCTCAAATTCTTCTGAGTTTTATTTTATACCACAGTAAACTTCCTGAGACATTAAAAGTGATAACAATGGCATCAGCTAACGTCAATAGTTAGATAACTCAGTATTTCAGAACTCAAGCTTCAGACTGCCTTTCTTGTTTTCTGTGCCTCTGGAAAAAGGTGTTCTCTCACAGAGAGAATGTACAGCATCAGAATGGTTTCTACAGAAGCTTCTCAGGACACAGCAGCAAGACAAAAAGGCACCCCACAGATTGGGAAAAGATATTCACTAATCCCACATCTAACAGAGGATGACCTCCAAAATTTACAAAGAACGCAAGAAGCAAATCTCCAAAACACCAAAGGATCCAATTAAAAAGTGGGCTACAGAGCTAAAAGAGAATTCTCAATTGAGGTATATAAAATGGCTGAGAGACACTTGAGAAAGTGCTCAACATCACTAGCCATTAGGGAAATGCAAATCAAAACAACTCTGAGATATCATCTTACTCCTGTCAGAATGGCTAAAATCAAAAACACCAATAACAGTTTGTGCTGGAGAGGATGTAGAGAAAGGGGAACACTCCTCCCCTGCTGGTGGGAGTGCCAACTAGTACAGCCACTATGAAAATCAGTATGGAGATTCCTCAGGAAAATGGGACTCAGTCTACCACAAGACCCAGCAATTCCACTCTTAGGCATGTGCCCAAAAGATGCATGCTCATACAACAAGTATGTCTGTTCCACTATGTTCATAGCAGCATCATATGTAATAGCTAGATCATGGAAGCAAACTAGATGCCCCACAACTGAAGAGTGGATGGAGAAAATGTGGTACATTTACACAATGGAGTACTACTCAGCGAAGAAAAACAATGGATTCTTGAAATTTGCAGGCAAATGGATGGCACTAGAGTAAACCATCCTGAGTGAGGTAATCCAGACACAAAAGACAAACATGGTATGTACTCACTCAAATATGGATTTTAGACATGGATCAGGGGATTGTCAGCCTACAATCCCAGTGCCAGTGAGTCCGGGAAACAGGGAGGTTCCCAAGAGAGATGCATGATACCCCAGAGAAGTGGAATGAGGCAAGATCTCCTGAGGAGATTGGGAACATCGGAGGAGGGATAGGGAACAAAGAAAAAAGAGGGGGAATAAGAGGAGGGGAGAAGAAGGCATGGTAGAGCAGGAAGGTTGAGTCTAGTTAAGAATAAAGGAGAGCAGGATGAGAGATACCATAATAGATCGAGTCATTATAGGCTGGAGAAGAGAGCTGACATTAGTGAGATCTCCAGAGATCTACAAGGATAACATCAATTGGCAAACTAAACAATAGTGGAGAGACTACACTAATACCCCTCCTTGATGATAGGGTTGATGACTACCCTATATGCCATCCTAGAATCTTCATCCAGTGACTGATGGAAGCAGAGACAGATACCCACAGCTAAATGCTGAACTGAACTCCTGGAACCCAGTGACAGAGATGGAGGAGTGATGAGCAAAGGGGTCAAGACCATGATGGCGACACCCACAAAGACAGCTGACCTGATAAGGGGGAGCTCTTGAATCCCTGACTGATGGCTGAGAGGCCAACATGGGACTGATCCAGACTCCATGAATGTAGTGCCAGGGAGGAGGCCACAGAAATCACTGGGGCCCTGGGTAGTAGGTCAGTGTTTACCATGGTTTATGAATAAGCTGTGGGAGCCCATTCCAAATAGAGGGATGCTCTCTCAGCCTGGACACATGAGGGAAGGGCCTAGGTCCTGCCCTGGATGAAATGACAGACTTTAGAGATCCCCCCAAGGAGGGCCTTACCCTCCCTGGAGAATGATGTGGGGATTGGGTGGGCGGCTGGGGGGCTGGTGGAAGGACAAAGGAGGAGGGGTGTGAGAGGGAGCTGGGACTGACACGTGAAACATTCACATTTCTAATTTAAATAAAAACATATATTGAGAAAAAAGAATCGTTTCTTGGTTAATGAAATGAAATGGTAATACAAAAAGGAAAGTCAGGATACCTTGAGGAAGAGTAGGTGTTGAGGAAGTTGAGGAATAATCTGATATTTCATAAACTTGAGATTCTTTCTCTGTGGGGACCATCTCTTGCGAGAATTGTCACATAGTGTCTTTCAGATCCTGAGATTTCAGCACGATGTCTTAGCCAGAGCCCTGTCCTCTCTGGAAGGCTCTCAGCCTTGTCCTCTCCTGAAGTGCCCAGAGCCGTGGTCTCCCTCAAACTGTTCAAATGTCAGTCATGAATTACAAGACACCCAATTTAGTTCATTCTGTCAGCTTTCATGCAACAATGAAACATGTGTAGAAAGCTGGAAAATGATAAATGTAGTTATGTGGCAGATAAATATGTAAGACTTATTTTCTGTTTATCTCTGAATCTGTCTGTCTGTCTGTGTGCATGTGCAAGAGTGAGCACATGTATTACATATGATGGATTCAGTAGACTATGTGTTTTGGAAATTCTCATAGAAACATTCCGTTTGGGGTGTACCACCGCCAGAGGTGGTCTCAACATCTCTTCTCACAAGAGAAGTGTGGAGATTGTGAGCCTTCAGGGTGACCACCTAAGCAAGAAGATGCTTAGTGCTGGTGTGATTTTGGTTCCTCTTCCACCATAATAAGCAGTCTTATGGTTATCATCAGAGGGGGCTCTAAATATATACCTAAATATGTTGTTTGAGATGGCAGTCCTGAGGAGGGTCAGGATAAGGCTGATGACTATCATCCTCCCCTATGAGCAGCATGTTAGGTTTTCTACAGTTTACAGGAAAGTATCAAAACTACACAGGACACTCAACTTGTCTCCAGATCCAGGTTTGTCAAAGATGAAGCTGAAACCACAGTTAATCTCCACTACATTACTTTCCTTCTTTCAGCACATAGGTAAATCCTACCTAGAGACCAGGAATATAAATGCGGAAATGCAACAAAGAATATCAATCAGCTGAAGCAGACCAAGAGAGTGGTAACAGAGTAAAAAAATATTGTCTTCAATCAAGAAAGAGAACTCAGACTACCAGGAAGGGCTTGCTGAAACTGAAAGACAGGAGAGCCCACTGAGTCACAGCACCCTATAGTGATGATGTCCAGGAAGAGGATATTTCCTAATTTGTAGAGTCCCAGTCAAGCCAGTCATGCATGGATTGCATTTTGGTTGGGAAATTCTTGGACATGCCCACTGTCATTCAGCTCTACTTTCACTGGGCTGGGTAGCCAGTGTTATAAAAAGTCCTTGGCTGCATATCTTCAGACTCCTGGTATTCAAGTTCTGGACTACTTTGGAGAACATGGTGACTGTCATTCTTGAGTTGTGGTCTTCTTTTGTGCTCCAGTAACATTTTAGATACTGGATGGTGGATTTTCTTTTTACTTGTAATTTAGTTAAACACAGTATATTTCCGTTTCATATGTTTTTTGCTGTCTTTTCATAGCTCTATCCCTTAGTCCTCTACTATGCAAACAAGACAAACTGCTAGGATGTTACAGTAGACAATAATGGGGTCTCAGGTTGCTTAGGGTTCCAGAACTTAAGACTTTCTGTCTCAAGGATATTTCTGTGCAATAGTAGCCATGCTTGTTCCATTGGAAGAAAATATTTTTCCCTGGAGAAAGGCATGAAACAAAGGGATTTCCAAAGGCTAGTGACACAAATTGCTGCCAGGAAATGGAAAAGCCAGGCTATTCTAAAACAGGAGTTGGGGTTATGTTCTTTCCTGCAGAGAAAAATGGATCTGATATTCCATGTCTCCATCAGTATTCTCTGTGTGGATCACTCCTGAACACTCTCTTGTAATGTCTTTCAGACCCTGAGATTTTAGCACGACGTCTTACTAACAGCAGCAGTGCAAGTAGCCCTGCAAGCCTCCTCCTGTGTGCCCACCCCCAAAGTGCCCAGAGCCTTGTCCTTCTCCAAAGTGCTCAGAGCCTTGTCCTCCATTAAAGTTTCCAGAGCCTTGTCCTCCTGCACAATGCCCTGAACCATGCCCCCCTGAGCCATGCCAGCAGAAATGCCCTCCTGTGCAACCTCCTCCTCCCTGCCAGCAGAAGTTCCCTCCCAAAGTATGTAAGGACTTCAGCTCTCATTATGACCAAGAGAAGAGAAGGAAATCTGCCTCTCATATTAACATATGAACACTTTCATCTTCCCTTCAAAGCCTGTCATGGATGCAGAAGAATCTTCTCCATCCTTCACCCTCCATGTGTCTGTGGTCACCCTGATAGGAAAGGCATTCCCCTGAAGTTGTGCTACTGCTGTGAATGGGGTGCTGAGGATGATCCTTCCTCACTGCCTCAGTGTCTCAGATGCTCAGAGTGAAGAGCAGCAGCTTTCCACCCTGTGCACTCAGAGGATGTTTCCTTAACTGTCAATCACCTTGGCTGGACTTTTCCACTGTGGTCTAATTTCCTGAATAAAATATAATCTGGTTGATACTATTCATGTGACCTTGTTTTCTAAAACTCACCCTATTACATTCATGATATGCTCTTGTTCCATTGTTTTTATTATTTGATCTCCAGGTTATTCTTCGATAACCAGTTTTGACTGAATTGTAAGTCATAACAAGGGTTACTTAGTGTTTGTTTGCTTGGTTGAAATATAATTTCATTTTGTGCAACTACAATCTTTCTTTTGCCACTTGATGTCTTAAGAAGATTATGGTATACTCAGATATGCATGTGCCACTAAGGATGCATATTCTCCCTACATTCCCATGTATTTTGCTCTAACTTCCCCCTTCATCTGATGTAACATTACACATCTATGTCAATATATCTTATTATGTTTTTCTTCAGTGTTTGAAAGTGTATTTAATTGAGTATATTTGCTGACATGATGATATGCAGTTTCATTTATTAGGTTGAAGAGGGCATGAGTTTTCATAGTTCTTTATGACTCAATACTACTCCAGTACATGAGGATACATTTTCCTATATCATTCATTCACTGGTGAGCAGTTGTACTGTTTTAGTTACATCACATATTAGGAGTAATTCTGAAATATAGGTGGATATGCAAGAATCTTTATTGTATAAGATATTTGACTTCTTTTCACATGAATCAGTGATGCTGCTGATTCACATGATAGTTCTGCTTTAGTTTTTTCAGTGTAGGAAACTCCACACTGATATCCATATTTTATGGGTTATTCTACTCTCTCTCACAGTCTGACTGTTTCTGTTCTTTTTACTTCAATCCTCTGCCAGGACTTGTTATTGTTCCGATGGCACTCATTCTTACATGGGCTGAATTGTCTTCTGGTGTAGGCTTTATTTACAGTTTTCTAATGGCTATAGATGTTGAACATTTTCTTGTTAATGTTACTTGTGGGAACTCCTAAGTATGCCAAAATCTTGTCTTTGGTCATAATTGAGTTAATTGTCACAATCCGAGGCATCTAATTATCACTAAGTGATAGTTTAGAATCTGCTGATCTGAATCATTTCCACTATCCTCACTACCATCCCCACTTCCATCTGCAGCATCCCATCATCATCCCCAATACCACCATCATCATCACAACCACTGCAATCTACCACAGCAGCTAGCACTGCCTTTCTCAACTATCATTGCCCCGTTCTGTACAATTACCCCACTAAGAGCACCACATCCATTTCCATCACCAATATCTTCAGCACAAATAATAACATGAAGAAACTCAAAAAATATTGTTAAATGTAGGAATGTGTTGGAAAGGGATTTCCGGGCCAGGAATGTGAGGCCCTGCATGGATCCTTCTGTTGCTTATTATTGTTTCTTTCATATGTTAATGTAGAATGTTGATTTTTCTCAGAATTTTTTTCTTAATAGCACAGATTATGTCATGTCAATATATTAAATCCAAAGAAGAACTAAAAAAAAACATTAGAAGAAAATGTGGTACATTTATACAATGGAATCTTGAAATTTGCTGGCAAATGGATGGCACTAGAAGAAACCACCTCGAGTGAGGTAACCCAGTCACAAAAAGACAAACATGGTATATACTCACTCATATATGGGTTGTAGACAGGGCTCAGGGGAGTACCAGACTACAATCCTACTCTCACAGGGTCTGGGAATCAGGTAAGACCCTAAGAGAGATATGCATGGTACCCCAGATAAGGTGAATGAGCCAAGATCTCCTGAGCAGACTGGGAGCATGGAGGGAGGGGTGGGGGAGTCAGGAAGAGGAGAGGGAGGAGGATGAGGAGAGGAGGACATGGGTGAGCAGGAAGATTAAGTCGGGAGATGAATAGAGGAGAACAAGATGAGAGGTACCATAATAGAGGGAGTCATTATAGGTTTGGGGAGACACCTGACACTAGTTAGATTTCCAGAGATCTACAAGGATGACACCAACTGGCAAACTAAACAATAGTGGAGAGACCACCTGAAATGCCCATCCCTGATAATGAGTTTGGTGACTTCCTTATATACCATCCTAGAATCTTCATCCTATGAATGATAGAAAGCAGAGGCAAACACCCACAGCTAAACATTGAACTGAACTTCTGGAACCCAGAGACAGAATGGGAGAAATGATCAGCAAAGTGGTCAAGACTGGGCTGGTGAAACCCAGAAAAACAGCTGACCTGAACTAGTGGGAGCTCTTGGACCCCTGTCTGATGGCTGGGAGACCATAATGGGATTGATCCAGACTCCCTGAATGTGGGTGTCAATGAGGAGGCCTGGACAATCTATGGGGCCTTTGGTGGTGGATTGGTGTTTGTCCCAGGCATACATATAGAATTTGGGTGCCCCTCCCACAGTGAGGGATGCTCTCTCAGCCTGATCTCTTGGGGGCAGACATGGGTCCTGCCCTGGACAAAATGGAAGACTCTGGGAATCTCCCATGGATGGTCTCACCCTCCCTGGGGAATGGAGTGGGGATTGGGTGGGGGCTTGAAGGAGCTGGTGGAGGATCAGGGGAGGAGGGGAGGGACAGGGAGCTGGGATTGACATGTGAAGCAAGCTTGAAATAAAAAAAGAAAAAAGAAGTACATATTCAAGTCTTTCATTGACTCATAAAATTCCATAGAAGTTAGGGTAAAAACATCTAGATTGAACTCAGGGCCATCTGACCTTAAAAGATCATAAATCTAGGAGAATCAAATGTTTAACTCAATGGCAGATGACAGCTTAAAATCACCATTGTGTGACAGTTTATATGTGTGAACCATGTGCTCCATGTCTCTGGCCTTGGAGGTTCATATTTGGAGAAAATGTCCTTGGAGCCTGTTCATTTGCGTTTGCTCTTCATGGAGTTTCAGTGGAAGGAACTCATCCTGAGTGTCTCAGCCTGGAAAGAGATTCAGCTGTTCTGACTCTGGTGTTGGTAGAATGAGAAGCCTCCATTTTGAAAATAATGTAATTAACCTATATATTATAAAAGTGAAGTGTTTAATCACAATATTTAAATATATGTAGATAATGTGCTTTACCCTCATTCAGTGTCTCAACATAGAAGAGGAAAATATGTGATACCTATCTTTGAGACTTCCTTGTTTCATTTGATATGATGCCTTCTTTAAGATATCTTTGTCAATTCTTTGAGAATGTCACATAATGCCTTTCAAAGATATTTACTCAGTGGCTTACAAGCAACTGTCCTTATCCACCTAAGTGCTTCCCTTCTCTTCCCACTCAACTTTGATTTCATTTCTATTTGCTTCTCCTTGCCCCTATTTTTCCAGTTTGTATACTCAGGCTATTCTAGACAGTGGGGTCTACTCTGGGGTGTGGTCACTATAGCTGGGGGTACATCACTGAAGAAAACTGCCATGCCTTCTCTCAGAAGCTATCAACTGCTAATAGCTCCTCAGCTAGTGGTGGGATTTCACACTTCTTGAACGATGAATTTTGGTCTGGCTTGAGTTTTCACATGACTTGTGCATGCTGACTCAATAGCTATGAGCTAAAACATTTAATCCCCTGCTTGTGTGAAGAAAACAGTGCTATTTCTAGTTATTATGATCTTTCTGAAAACTCCTCTGTGAGGGTAATCATGAGCACACACTAGTTTCTTACTATAAGCACCATTGATTAGTGACAGATCTCTTTGTTAATAATCTACTGCTAGTAGAAGTTTCTTACATGAGGAATGTGAGATATTAATATTGATATGAGTATAGTAATAAATCACTAGGAATTTCTGTTTTGATTATTCTACTTAGCAGAATAATACTACTGATTGGATTATCCCCCAATAATTTCCAATCTAAGCACAGATTCTCTGTCCTTTACCAGTGCTAGATATGCACTTTGCCTCCTGGAGAAGAGCCTTAAATCCAAATAGAAAGTGGTTTGTTGCTTCCATACATTTGTGCTACTGTAATACCAACGGACATATCCTGTCAAGTCAGTGTTTGTTGTAGCTTGCAGTGTTCAGAACTGGGTGATGCTGGTGAGGACTTTTATCCTTCATTAGTGTACATAGCACCTTCCCATATCATTAGGTCTAGCCAGCAGGGAGGAAGTGTACAGGAGCGTACTCCCTAGATTTCTCCAAGTTCTCTTGCTTAAATATTGATGTCTACAAAATGGGTTATTACCATGAAGTGCTGGAGAATAAACAAGTTACAGGCAGTATTCTGTAAACTAGTTGAGTTAGTTCATGGAAACAACTGGATGGGAACTAAAAAGCAGTTAAGTTATTCTTGCTGCTGAGGATTGTATTTGCTAGTATGAGGTATGAACTTGTGGTTTTGTACCCCTCCTGTTGTAAGGTAACTCCATTAAAACACTTTATGTATGTATATATTCTAGTAAGTTTTTAGAGTAGTAGGTTTCCACATGACTAATTCAAAAGGTTTTTAATGTTAATCATCTCCCTCTGTATGCCCTAGTTTACCCTGCTCTCCCTTGTCCTATCACAATGTAAATCTTTCCATTTGTATTATTTCTCTCTATCCCTTTCTACATTTCTGTGGACTATACTCATAAGAAGAGCCTTAAGGATGGCATCCTAGGTCAGTATGCAATTTTATAATATGACATAGAAGAAGACAGACATATCCTGAGATCATTCATTAGGTATGATATGCAAATATGGACAGTAGTAATCTACTGACCTGTCACTAGGCAATGTGTACTAAACTTCATATGCCATCCACTGACGTACATTTCTTGGCATATGATCTCAGATGTATGATGATGATTTCCCTTAAGGGACATGGGTAGTGACATTCTCAGCTAATCCCTTCCTTACTGTCAGAAGCACTGACAGTCACAGGAAGCTGACATGCTTCACTGAGATTGATTCATTACCTGTGTGCTTCTCATAGCAGAGCTGGGACTAGCTAATGGCTTTTTTCATCTTTTTTATTCTATTTTTGTCCTCAAAAAAAACCCCTCGATTTTCCAGGACCAAAGGGAATATTTTTCTTTTTCTTTTTGTATTGTTTTGTTCACCATCTTAGTAGGTTCCAGATTATTGAATTATGGCTTTTGTTTTTTTAACTCTATCAACTTCCTGTGACATCATGAGTCATAATAATGGCAATGATTACTGTCATCATTGAGATTGCTCAGCATTTTAGAACTTAAACTCCAGACTGCCTTTCTTGGAGATGATGCATTCAGCAAGTTCAATTACTCTGTCTTTGGGAAGAAAGGTGTTTTCTCACAGAAAATGGGTAGAAAAATGGTTTTCTAGGGTAATTAAACAAACATGGTGACATGGAAGGGAAATGAGGAAGTCTTGAGGGGGAGTTGAGATTGAGGAATAGTTTTTATGTTTCATAAACTTACATCCTTTCTCAATAAGGCTCATCTCTTGTGAGAACTGTAACATAATGTCTTTCAGATCTTGAGACTTCAGGACGATGCCTTAACAAAAGCTGTCATGCAAGCAGCCTGGCCAGCCTCTTCCTGTGCCCACCCTCAAAGTGCCCAGATTCATGGACTCCCTCAAAATGTTCAAAAGTCAATCAATTTTTGGGAAACACACAACTTAATTCATTCTGTCAGTTTTCATGCAGCAATGAATCATTGATATTCATTAGACAATTGGGGAGTGATTAATGTAGCTATGAGGCCGATGAAATTATAAGACTGATGCTGTGTTTATCTTTGTCTGTGAATCTTTCTGTCTACCTGTCTGGCTGTGTGCATATGCAAGAGTGAGCACATATATTGCATATGACAGATTCACTACACTATGTGATCTAGAAACTCCAGTTGGCATATATCACAGTCACAGGTTGTCTCAACAAATCTTTACACCAGAGAAGCATTGGAGATTGTGAGTCTTCATGCTATTCACCTAGCAAGAACATGCTTAGGGCAGGTGTGATTTTAGTTCCTCTTTCACCATGATAAGCAGTCTATGGTCATCATCAGAGGGGAGTCTAAATACCCTAATATGTTGTTTGAAATGGCAGTCCTGAAGAGGGCCAGGATAAGGCCAAAGCCCATCAGCGTCCCTTATGAGCACCTTATTAGGTTTTTCTATGGTTTAAAGAAAGTTATCCAACCTACCAAGGACATATGTCCTGTCTCCAGGCCCAGGATTGACAATGATGAAGTTGACACTACAGCTAATGTCCCCTGTATTACTTTCCTTCTTTCAACACACAGGAAATCCTACCTAGACACCAAGAATATAAATGTGCCAAGGCATCAAAGAATATCAATGAACTGAGGCAGGGCAAAGAGGACACAAAAAGTATTAATAGAGAAAAGAATTATTGTCTTCAATCAAGAAAGAGAACTCAGACAACGAGGGATGTCTAACTGAAACTGAAAAGATAGGAGAGCCCACCGAGTCACAGTACTCTACAGTGATGATGTTCAGGAAGAGGATATTTTTGTCTTTGGAATCCCAGTCTAGAAAGTCATGCATGGATTTGCATTTTGATTGAGAAATTCTTGCACCTGCCCACTGACAATCAGGTGTACTTCCCCTGGGTTGGACAGCCAGTCCTATAAAGAGGTCCTTGGCTGCATGACTGCAGACTCCTGGTATTCAAGTCCTGGACTACTTTGGAGAACCTGGTGAGTGTCATTTCTTGAGTGGTCAGTCTTAATAGTCATTTCATATGCTGCAATCATGTTTTAGGGACTACAAATGGTTGCTTTACCTTTCATTTTGTATGCAGATAAACACAGTGTATTTCTGATTCATATGCATGTTTTGGTGTCTTTTCATATCCCTATACCTTAGTAGATATTATAATCTGGAGTTTTCCTCAGCTGTCCTCTACTATGCAAACCAGACAACCTATTAGAGTGTCACAAGTGACAATGGAGATAGGGATTTATTCTGAAATTGTTCAGGACACAAACACTTGAGAATACCTGTCATGATGATGTTTCTGTGTATAAACACCCTTACTTGCTTATCTGGAAAAAGGCATAAAACAAAAGGGTATTTTTCAAGCCTGGAGACATAGACTGCTGACAGAAAAGGGGAAAGCCAGGCTGTCCTAAAATAGGAGTTGGGGGTTATGTGGATGCCTGGAGTGAGAAATGGATGTGACTCGTCCCATGACTACATCAGTCTTCTCTATGTTGATCACCCTTGACCACTCTCTTGTAATGTCTTTCAGACCCTGAGACTTCAGCACGATGTCTTACCAACAGCAGCAGTGCAAGCAGCCCTGCCAGCCTCCTCCTGTGTGCCCACCCCCAAAGTGCAAAGAGCCTTGTCCTTCTCCAAAGTGCCCTGAGCCTTGTCCTCCTCCAAAGTACCCAGAGCCTTGCCCTCCTCCAATTTGTCCAGAGCCTTGTCCTCCTCCAAAGTGGCCAGAGCCTTGTCCTCCTCCAAAGTGCCCAGAACCTTGTCCTCCTCAGCCATGCCAGCAGAAATGCCCTCCTGTACAACCTCCTCCTCCCTGCCAGCAGAAGTGTCCATCCAAGAGCAAGTGAGTGCTTCAACAGTCATGAGGACCAAGAAAAGACGTGGAAATCTACCTCTTACACTTCCATAGAAACACTCCCTTCTTCCCTTCAAAGCCTATCATGGATGCAGAAGAAAAACTCCACTCTTCACCTCCATGTGTCTGTGGTCACCTGATGGGGAAGGCATTCCCCTGAGCTTGTTCTGCTTCTGCTATGAATAGGCTTCTGAGAATAATCCTTCCTCACTGCTTCAGTGTCCGGGATGCTCAGATTGAAGAGCAGCAGATTTCCACCCTGTGCACTCAGAGGATGTTTCCTTAACTGCCAATCAACTTGGCTGAATTTTTTCCACTGTGGTTTCATTTCCTTAATAAAGTACAATTTGTCTGATAGTATCCATGTGTTCTTGTTTTCTAAATCTCAATCTATTACATTCATGATATGTTCCTGTTCCATTGATTTTTATTCTTTGTTCTCTAGGTCATTCTTCTGTAATATTTTTACTGAAGTTTGGGTCATAACAAAGATTATTTAGTGTTTGTTTGCTTGAGAGAAATATCATTTCATTTTGTGCAACTTCAATCTCTTAGCACATGCTATCTTAATAAGGTTATTGTGTATTCAGATATGCTTGTGCTACTTAGGACATATTTTCTCCCTACACCCCATGCATTTTGCTCTTACTTGTCCCCTCATATGATCAAACAGTTATATAAATACAACAATCTCTCCTTGGTATATTTTCTGTTTTAATATTTGAAACATCCATGACTACATCATATTTAAGAGTGTATTTATTTTTTAACATGATTATATACCATTATGTGTATTTGTCTGAAGAGTACATGATATCATAGTTCTTTATGACTGATTATCACTCAGTACACGTAAGCGCCTCATTTTCTTATCCTATTCATTCACTTGTGACCAGCTATACTGTTTTATTTATGTTACATATTAGGAGTCATTCTGAAATATAGATGGATATGCAGAAATCTCTATTGTATACTATATTTGACTTCTTTTCATATGAAGTAAATTGATGCTGCTGATTCATATGATAGTTCTGCTTTCGTGTTTCTCATTGGAGGAAATCCCACACTGATTTCCACATTTGATGTGGTAATCTACTCTCTCACAGTCTGAGAGTTTGTCCTCTTTTCCCTCCATTCCTCTGCCAGAACTAGTTATTTTGTTTGTACTCATTTTTTACATGGGTAGAATGATCCTCTGGTGCAGGTTTGGTTTCCAGGTCTTTAATGGCTAAATATGTTGAACATTTTCTTTTTACTGTTTCTTGTGGAAACACTTGTCTTTGGTCATAATGGATAATGCATACTTTTTGATTGGCACAATCTGAGGCACCTTATTAGTACAAAGTAAGTGATAGGTTTAGAGACTGCTGATCCACATCATTTTTGCTACCCTCATTACAATCCCCATTTCCATCTCCAACATCCCCATCAACATCATCTCACCAGCTAGTACTGCTTACCTCCACTATCATTGTCACCCTGTCTAGTATTACCCCACTAAGAGTACCATACGCATGTCCATCACCATTTCCATGACTGTTGTCTCCAGCACCACCAACATCATCAAAAAACAAGTAAACCATTGTTAAATGTAAGAATTTGTGGGAAAGGGTTTCCAGCCAAGGAATGTGATCCCTGCATCAAACCTTCTGCTGCTTGTTATTGCTTCTGCCATATGTTAATATAGAATCTTGATCTTTTTCAGTAACATTTTCTTAATAGCATAAGTTATATCCTAGTAAAATGTTAAATTAAGTGAAGAACTAGAACAGTTTTATAACTTGAAGTTCAGGTCTGTCATTTGACTCTTAAAATATAGAAAATTAGGATAAAAATATACAGGTTGACCTCCTGATGATCTAATCTTTTTTTTTTGGTTTTTTTACGAGACAGGGTTTCTCTGTATTGTTTTGGAGGCTGTCGGTCTAGCCTGGCCTCGAACTCACAGAGATCCGCCTGCCTCTGCCTCCCGAGTGCTGGGATTAAGGGCTTGTGCCACCACCGCCCAGCTGGTGATCTAATCTTAATAGATTATAAAACTAATAGAATACATTGTTTATCTCAATGATAGTTGGCATCTTGATAGGATCATTTTATGAGTATTCATGTGTGTGCACACATGTGTTCCATGTCTCTTGTCTTTATTTTATTTTATTTTATTTGGTTTTTCGAGGTAAGGCTTCTCTGTAAATTTAGAGCCTGTCCTTGAACTCTCTTTGAAGACCAGGCTGGCCTCGAATTCACGGAGATCTGCTTACCTCTGCCTCCTGAGTGCTGAGATTAAAGGTGTGAGCCACATCACTGCCCCCCATGTCTCTTGTCTTGAAGGCTCAGACTCGGAGAAAATGTCTGTGCAACCTGCTCATCTGTAGTTGCTCTTCCTGGAGCTTCAGTGGAAGAAACTCATCTTGAAGGTCTCAGCCTGGAAAGAGATTCAGCTGCTCTGACTCTGGTGCGAGTACTGACAGAATTTCTGGTGCCAGTACTGACAGAATTAGTAAACTCTATTTTGAAAATAATGAAATTAGTGTATATCATTATAAAAAGTGAAGAGTTTAGTCATGATATTTAATTATATGCAGACAATATTGTATTTGCCCTCATCCACTGTATTCAACATAGGAGAGCAAACATGTGATACTTGTCATTTGAGATTTGCTTGTGTCCTTTAATATGGTGTATTCTTTAAAATATCATCTTTATTAATTCTTTGATAATTTCATACAATGCATTTCAATGATATTCACCCATTGGCTTATCAACAACTGTCCTTGCCCACCTACTGTGCCTTTCTTTCTCTTCCTACCCAACTCTCATTTCTTCTCTATTTGTTTCTCCATGCTCCCATCATTTCCAGTTTGTGTAGTCTCACTACTCTAGACGGTGAGACCTATCCTAGAATGTGGTCAATATAGCAAGGATGGCATCATTAAGAAAACTCACACTCCTCTTAGAAGCTCTCAACTGGTAATAGTTCCACAACTAGTGGTGAGGTTTCATACTTCTCTTGCTTAATGAGATTTAGCCTTGTTTAGGATTTTACATGACTTGTGCATGCTGTGAAAATTGCTATGAGTTCAAACATTTAATGACTTAGTTATGTGAAGAGAAGAGTTCCTACCTCTAGTCCTTATAATCTTTCTGTCATATCTTCTGTGAGAGTAAAGCTGAGGACACACAAGTCCTTCATTCTATGTACTATAGATCTGGTGAGGGTCTCTGTGTTAATCTACTGCAATGAGAAGCTTCTCGATGAGGAATGAGACATAGATTGATATGAGTATAGGAAAAACTCTTTAGAAATTGCTGGTTTGATTTGTCCATATCGCAGAATAATAATACTGATAGGATTACCATCGAGGGCCTATGTCCTATCTAGATATAGATTATGTACCTTTTACCAGTGTTAGGTATTCACTTTGTCTCATGGAGAAGGACCTTAAGTCAAAAAAGAAAGTGGTTGGTTGCTCCCATACAGTTGCGCCATTGTTGTACAAGTGGGCATGCTCTGTCAAGCCAGTCTTTGTTGTGCTTTGAAGCCTGCAGAGCTGGGTCAGGCCAGTAAGTACTTTTCCTTTTCAGCAGTACACATAGCACTTTCCCATATCATTAAGGCTGGCCAGTAGGGAGGGAGTGTCCAGGAGAGTACCCCTTAGATTTCTCCAAGTTCTCTGATTTAAGCATTGATGTCTATAGGAATGGGGTTTTATCATGATGTTCTGGAAGGTGGACAAGTTACAGGCAATAAATAGTCTGTAAGGTAGTAGAGTTAGTCAATTGAACCCCACTGTCTAGCACTAAAAAGTGGTAAGGTATTAAATTTGTATTAGCTAGTATGAAGTATCTGCTTGTGATATGGTACCCCTTCCAGATGAAAGATATTTATTTATTTGGTTTTTCAAGATAGGGTTTCTCTGTGTAGCTTTGGAGCCTGTCCTGGAACTCACTCTGTAGACCAATCTGGCTTTGAACTCACAGAGATCCACCTGCCTCTACCTCCCAAGTGCTGGTATTAAAGGTGTGTACCAACAACACCTGGCCCTAGTAAGTTTTTGGAGTAGTATATTTCCATACCACTTTTTCAATTTTGTATTTTTCACTTTTAATTGAGCTATACTTTCCTCCCACTCCCCTATCCTCTTCCTCTCTCCCCTTCTATTCTCCCCATGACCCCAATGTTCCCAATCAACCAGGAGATCTTGTTTTTTTCTCCTTCCTAGCAGTTCCCTTTTTGTCTCTTGTATGGTCCTCTTTGTTACCTAGGTTCTCTAAGGTTATGACCTGTAGGCTGGTTGTTCTTTGTTTTATGTCTAATATTCACGTATGAGTGAGTATATATTATATTTGTATTTCTTGGACTGGGTTACCTCACTCAGGAAGTTTTTTTTTCTAGGTCCATCCATTTGCTTGCAAATTTCATGATGTCGTCATATTTTTTCATTTTCTTCTTTTTTATTTTTAAAATATAATTAGAAACAAGATTGCTTCACATGTCAATCTCTGCTTCTTATTCCTCTCCTTCCCCTCCTCCCACCAATCCCCCATCCCCCTCCCCCAATCCCTACTCCTTTCCCCAGGGAGGGTGAGACCCTCCATGGGGGGTGTCCATAGTCTGTCATTTTCTTCAGTGCAGGGCCTAGGCCCTCCCCCCAAGTGTCCAGACTGAGAGAGCATCTCTCATTTTGCGATGGGCACCCAAAGTCCATTTGTATGCCAGGGATAAATGCTGATCTACTACCCAAGGCACCATAGATTGCCTAGGCTTCCTCACTGACACACACATCGAGGGGGTCTGGATTCCCAGCCATCAGTCTGGGTTTCAAGAGTTCCCCTATGTTCAGATCAGCTGTTTCTGTGGGTTAAACAAGCTCAGTCTTGAACCCTATGCTCATCAGTCCTCCCACTCTGTCACTGGGTTCCTTGAGTTCAGTTCAGTGTTTAGCTGTGGGTGTCTGCCTCTGCTTCCATCAGTCATTGTTTGACGGTTCTGTTCCCCAGTCTCTCTGGCAGTGGGATTGTAGGCTGACACTCCCCTGATCCATGTCTAAAATCCATATATGAGTGAGTACATACCATGTTTGTCTTTTTTTGTGACTGGGTTACCTCACTCATGGTGGTTTCCTCTAGTGCTGTCCATTTGCCTGCAAATTTCAAGATTCCATTGGTTTTTTCCCACTGAATAGTACCCCATTGTGTAAATGTACCAAATTTTCTCTATTCATTCTTCAGTTGTGGAGCATCCTACAGCTGATAAATACTTTCAACAAAGTGGCAGGATAGAAGATCAACTCAAGAAAATCAGTAGACCTATTATAT